GGTTTTTTTTTTTTTTTTTTTGGCCTTCCCTCTGATTGTTTAGAGATTGGAGAAGTGGAAGAGCTGAAAGAAAGGAGATTCCGAGACAAAGATTGGGTTTTTATTTTTGTTTTGGTTGATGTAAGAAGACTGGTCGGTAGATGGAGCTCCCCTATATTTGGTGATGACAATCTGTATGGATGACTTTCAAAATTCCGTTACTTGTTGCCGTTATTTTTGTTCCCTCCCGCCAGTCTTGCTCCGTTATAGATAACGGCAGTTTTTGATGAGGTGACCCCTCCCTTGACCACCTTCCTCTGTACAAAAACGGATCTGTTTCATCCTGCAAGTGCCACTATACGTAATTGCATATACACTTACTGTATAATGCAAAACTTCAATGGAAATGCTTGCTTATGCATGGTTTTCTTACCTGTAACATGATGCTTTCTTTCTTATGGTTTTGCAGGAAAGCCGCAACTAAAATTCAGAAACCAGCAATCTTCGGGAAATTTCTGGACAAAACTGATGATCGAGGGTATTTGCAAAGTGACGTCTTCTGAAGATGTGCGCCAGTTGAATCTGTGGGATGTCAGAAAGGTGGAAACTTGATCTACGATCGAAGACTTAAATCTACATAGGATTCTTGTTGACATTGAAGAACTCTTTGGAGGAATTACTCGCTCTCTTCCCGTATGATTCTTGTTGCAGTCGTAGTTTTGATATGACAAACCCGGAACAGGGCTACGAATCAGCGAAGAGATGATGAACTCGATCCTTCGTGTTCGTAGATGGGTTTCGGACAAACGATTCGCGCATCTCGATTGAGACTTCAAGCCCTTTATCCATAACGAAGAAGTCTAATCAGACAAGAACATTTGATCCGAAATAGGGTTTGGATTCTCTTGGTCTATAAGAGTTTCTGTAAAGTGAACAAGCTTGCTGCAAGAAACTGTATATAGCGTGTATGAATAATCAGTAGAATTCTTCAGATTGAAGAGGATTTTTTTGGGTATATATAGTAAATTCTGGGTTTAATATGAAATCGGATGATCGTCTGAAGAACCTGGCAGGTCGTAGCGAAGTGCGGCGGTAACGGATGACGTCGCGGCGGGTATCGGCTACGCGCTCGTGGCTCTGGGACCGTCTCTCTCACTCTTCGTCTCCATCATCTCCAAAAAGCCCTTTTTGATCCTCGCCCTTCTTTCCAGGGTTCTCTCTCTCTCTCTCTCTCTCCATTGGATTTTCTCGGAGAAAGAATCGGGTTTTTTTAGGGGGGTTTCATCCCATCCAAAAAGGCAAAATTTGGAGTCGTTTTGCTTCGCAAGTGTTGTTAGTGTCGTATTGCATCTGCTTTTTGTGGAGATTTGAGTACATGGGGAAAACTAGGGTTCATAAGTTAGGTCTCTTGTAGGGATTTGATTGGTTGAAAGATTAAGTCTTTAATTGATACATTTCGGGTTTGGATGATTTCTATCTACTACATCTGAAAGAATTTTAAAGGAGTTGCAGCGGCTGTCTTTCTTGTGTTTGCAAAATATCATTAAGATACGGACAAAAACCTTGTAGTTTTTTTTTTTATTATATTATTTTATCGATTTGAATTAGAACGAATCGAATTTAATTGGATCGAAATGAACCTTTATGAATCAAAACGATTTGAATTTGAATCGATTCAAATCGAAACCACAAATACTATCAAATTCTTTGGTTAAAGATAATTATTAAGGTTTGATAAGTTTTGATAGATGTTATCAAATTATTTAGATATATATGAGAAATTAATTTTATTTTA